AGTCATTTAGACTCTTGAGCTTCCTCGTTCCGGGATGGGGCTGAAGTAATTTCTCCTCAGAAGAGCAGTGGGGCTCTGAGACCTGGGGGTGGGTTAAGGCATCGCCTCCTTAATCAGAGGTGGCTTTGGTGGGATGAGCAGTCAGTGGGAAGTTATTGCTGACCTTTCTCTGGCAGCTTCTCCTGGATTTCTTTACTCTCATTACCGATCTCTACTCCCCTCCTGACCCCTCCTTATCTACCTTTTAGATTTCCTCTTTTGCTGCATCTCTTTCTGACATCTCTTCCTTCCCTATTCCTCTCCCCTCTCCCAATATATCTACTGTATCCTGGAATCTAGGCCCAGAATATGTTGAAGAAGGTGGAAGGCTTGGAGCACCTAAAGAATCTCACTACCTTGCACCTTAGAGACAACCAGATTGACACTCTGAGTGGCTTCTCCGAGGGAATGAAATCACTGCAGTACCTCAACCTGAGGTATGCACGCCCTCCAGGCCCCACCTTGCTCCTACCCCTGATCAGGAGCAGCTTTTGACCGGGTTCTTCCCGGTCCCAATCCCCCAATCCTAGCCCATTCTCAGATTCTCACCTCATCCTCCATCCTGATCCTCATCCCTCCTTTCCTTACTTTTTTCTGCATTCAATCCTAATTATAACGCTGAGATCTTTATAGCCTGAGACCCCCAAATCCTTATGCATTCAACCCACAGTTATTGAGAACGTGCTCTATGCCAGCTCTTGTGTTGTGTTTCAGAAACACTTAAAGGCACCGGAGATGGCCCCTGTTCTCAAGGGACACAATCTGGCTCCCACTCTATGTTTTGTTTCTATCCCATATAAGTTTCTACTCTGCTCCTCCATCTTCTGGACCCCAATTCCCCTTCCCATTTCCTGCCTCTCTTATCCTGAGCCCCACCTGTAAGGCTCCTTTACTTACATAAAACACAAGATGTGCTCAGATGTGAGCAGAGAATATTTGAAGGAAATCTCTAGATAGAAAAGCACTCAGGATCAGAGATTTTCTCTCAGCAATTCTTGTCTGATGGAGGATTTTATGTGTGTTTCATTAAGCAAAGATGTAAGAAAACTGCCTCCTTAGTCAACAAGGCCTCTAGTCAATACTGGCAATGGAACCAGGCAGCATGGTTCAGTGGCTGAGCATCAACCTATGAACCAGAAAGTCACTGTTTGATTCCCAGGTTCCCGGGGTTGATTCCCAGTCAGGGCACATGCCCAGGTTGTGGGCTTGATCCCTGATCCCCAGTAGGGGGCATGCAGAAGGCAGCCAATCAATGATTCTCTCTCACCATTTATATTTATAATAATAATAATATTTAAATATATAAATATATATATAAATAAAATAATATTTAAATATATAAATATATATTTATATATATTTATATTTATAAAAAGGACACACACACACACACACACAAAGACTGGCAATGGAAACAGAATCTCCAAGTAGGAGAGATGGTTGAACCCCAACTCCAGCTTTAATTCATGGAGCAGTCTCTTGCTAATTAGCTCTGCCACATTGGTCTGGAAGGGTGGAGGGGCTTCTGTCTTCCTGTTACTAGCCTGGGCAGGGAGAGTGGACCCTTTTCCGTGGCTGTTCACTGGGGAGGTTTGGAAGTAAGAGTAGTGGAGCTGCATTGTCTCAATGACTAGGAGGTGCCTCTGGGGCCAAAGATGCTCAACCTCCTGCAATGCACAGGGCAGTCCAGCACGAAGTGCATGCAGCGCTCCCAGTGAGACATACGGCGGCGGCGTGAGGTTCAGCACCTCCACTGAGATAAAGTGGAAACATTTAAACCTGATTTCATACAGGCTTGAAGCAAACACATGAAAATAGCTGTATGAGGAGGCATATTAGGAGATGAAGCTTGTTCTTTAGGATGGGAGGCCCCAGCCCAGTGGTCGGCAAACTCATTAGTCAACAGAGCCAAATATCAATAGTACTTCTTCAAAATAGACTCGCCCAGGCCGAAAACCGACTTCTGCACATGGGCCACGAAGTTTCAATCGCACTGTACGTGCGCGCCCACACGTATTTTGTGGAAGAGCCACACTCAAGGGGCCAAAGAGCCGTGTGTGGCTCGAGAGCCGCAGTTTGCCGACCAGGGCCCCAGCCCATCCTTACCTCTAGGTTCCTTCCAGCGGGGAGCATGACGCAGCACTCACTACCTTGAGCGTCAATCCCAGGTCCTTTTTCACTGCCCCAGTCCTCCTAACCTCTGAGTAGGTGTAACTGACACAGAAGTCTGTTCCTCCAAGGGAGACGCCCCCCTCCTCCCCAACTACAAGACCAGGTTGTGACCTAGCTTTGCTGCTCCAGAAGGATAAATAGGGCACAGTGCGGAATAGAATATGGCACTTAGGGATTCCTTGAAGGACAGAAGCAGGACAGGAGTAGAGCTGGACAGCAACCCTGCAGCAAATCTGGCAATGCGTGGCAGGCCGACCTGTAAGAGGCGGTGTTTCTGGGGAAGCTGGAGCCCATGGGAGACTCCCCCAGAGGCTCCATTCCTGGCAGCTCGCCTCCAAAATCATTATTCCCACGAACCCCTCCTGACTGCACCCACAGGGGCAACATGGTATCCAACCTGCAGGAGCTCGCCAAGCTTCAAAACCTGCCCAAGCTTCGAGCCTTGGTGCTGCTGGACAACCCGTGTACAGATGAGAGTGACTACCGCCAGGAGGCCCTGGTGCATATACCACAACTGGAACGCCTGGACAAGGAATTCTTTGAGGAGGAGGATCGGGCCGAGGCCAATGAGATTCGTCAGAGGATGAAGGAGGAGCAGGAGCAGGAGCAGGATGCTGAGACTGAGCAAGACATAGGGCCGGACCAGCCATAGATGCAGCAGTGGTTCTTCTCATCTTCACCGATAGTAAGAAAGCCAGCAGGGAGGCAGGAAGAGGAGGTCAGGGGGCCTGGCACTTAGGGAGAGAGCAAAGCTGCTGTGGGAGGAGGTGGGTGAGGAAGGGATTAGGCAAAGAGAACCCTTGGAGAGATGAGGGTTAGGGGTCAGGGGGGTCTCAGGGTGAGGAGGAAAGACCAGCAGGGCCTAGGAGGAGCTGAGGAAAGGCTTAGGAGATACACCAGGAAGCCAGAAGAGTAAGTGAAAAGAATTGGGGTGGCAGGCATAGCTGCTGGTGTGGGGTGGCAGCCATACCTGAGCTAGAATGAAGATCAGCTGTGAAGGCCAGGTGGGCAGCAAGGTGGTGGTGGGAGGGAGGTGGTTGGTGGTGTGTGAGGGATGCAGCTGGGCCTAGGAGAGAAGGCAAGAGAGAAAGAGCCTGCACTAAAAATCAGAAACTAAACATAACAGGACACGGGGTAGGGGGAAGAAGGGAGGGCAGGGGAGGCAGACGGGGCTGAGGAGATGAGTCCAGGGAAGTGGAGCAGCGGGACATTTCAGATGGGGCAGAGGCAGCAGTGGGAATGCAGTCGGGCCCAGAGGGTTTCCTTCTGTCCCTTCCTCCAGGGGATCAAAGACACTGGCTCCCAGACCTGAGATTGGCAGGGTCCACCACAGGCACGCCCGCCCCATCCGGAGACAGAGGCTGACTTCTCGGCCCCAACCTGCGGGTTCATCACAGCCTGCCGCCCAGGCTCTGTGTGGGCACCTGGGCAGAGGGGTGGGTGGGCTCCAGCGCTGCCTGGAGCCTAGAAGTGGGCATCCTTCAGGCAGATCCGGTTGCCTGCGGAGACGGGCTGGGGTGTGTAGGAACAGCTCGGTTTCGAATAAAGAGATATTTTGATACTTTTGTGCCTGACCGGGTACGGGAGCGTCTATCGCGGGCTTTCCTGGCTGTTGCTGGCCTCAGAGATCAGATTACTCTCTCCGAGGCTGTGCCGGTTACTTTCCGGGGGGCCGGGTCGTGGGCAGCAGCGTGCGTGGGCGCTGGAAAAGGCAGGCTCTGGGTCGCCCCCAGTCCCTCCCGCATCACTTTCCCCCTCCCACTCCCCCACTACACCCCCATCGGCCCCCCACCCGCACTCCTACATGCGCCTCCGCCCACGGCTCCTGACTCACGGGGGCTCTGGGTCACATGCGCCCGCCCGGCCCTATCGGCGCCTCCCCCCCTCCCCACCCCCCGCCCGCCTCCTGCAGCCCGGGAGCCGCAGTCGCCACCGCCGCCGCCGCCACTCCCGCTCTCTCTGCGCCGCTGCCGCCACCGCCACCGCCACCGCCACCGCCACAGGCTGAGTCTGCAGCCCCGAGGAGAAGCCCTGCCCGGACCCCGCGCCCCTCGGCCTGTCCCCCGGCCCCTGCGCCCGCTGCCCAGCTTCCCCGGGCCGCGCGCATCTCTACCGGCGCTGCGCACCTGCTCCGACCCGCGCGTCCCGGAACCGGCCTCTCCGCTGTCCGACCGCATCTGCTCGATTCTGGCGT